AAGAATTTTTTTATTTTTGTTTTTATGCAATTCAATTCCATATATTTTTTTTTTGTGGGAATTCATTTTATATATGACTATATATTGTTATCATTAAAAATATTTAATTTAATTTTTCTTTACATAATCGTATAAGAAAAATTATAATCATATTGTACCAAAACGAGTGATTTAGAAATAATTAAATATATATATTTTTAACAAATACTCATGCAATACTCGGATATCGTACTAGTATATATACTTGAAAAAAAAAAACTTACAGCCAATCCCACAGCTCCGAGGCCGAAGACAGCCACGGTTGCCCCCGCCTGAATATCAGCTGTATTCCACGCTGCTCCTAGGCCTAATTAACCATTTAAATTAAATAAATAATACTAGTTTCAATTATCCAAATATAAATGAATAAAAATTAATTAATTTTGGTATTTTGTTAATTAAGCTCAACTAAAAGTATGAAAAAAAAAATAATAAAAAATGGTCCCTAGACTAATAATAACTTGATGGTTGTTTTTTCAACTTATATAATCAACCCTACAACTATATAGTATCATCATCACTAGACTACACAGTCTTCAATAAATCTTAATTGTGACAAATTAATTTATTACCAGTTGAAAGTCCACAGCTAAGCAGTGACATTTTGCCAAGGGGCGCGTCCCGGTGGATCTTGACGACGCAGGCCGAGTCGAGCACAGTGTACTCGCTAAAAGTCGAGGTGTTTAAAAAGTGGTAGATGGGCTTCGACCCGTCTTTGGTTCGAAACCTGGACTTGCCGTCGTTGACCATCGTGCCCTTGAACGGGTCGACCCTGAATTTGCGGCACATGTTGGTCTTGGGCGACTTGCACTGCGCGCAGTCTCCGCATTCGCCGTTGAATATGGGCACGACATGGTCTCCTATCTCGATGTCCGTCACGCCGGGGCCCACGCTCTCCACCACTCTGTATTTTTATTTGGGATTTTGAGTTAAGATTCTTTTAGACTGTTTATGATTCTTTGAATTAACTTGAATAAATTATCTCAAGAATTTTTTTAAAATTTTTTGAAATCTCAAATAAATATGTCATTATCTGTTAAGACCTTAAAATCTCAAACAAATACACTAGAACTTTTAAAGATCTCAAGAAGTCTTAGGAATCCGGAAGGAATACACTCCCTTTAGTATTTAGGTGAAATGTGTGATTAGTATTGTTGCCTGTTAAATGAAACGAGCCGCTCGTGAGCTCGAGTCAGCTCGACTAGACTCGTTTGATAAACAAGCCGAGCTCGAATTCGCTTAAAGCGCCGAGCTCGAGTTTGTTTAAAGGTCTGAGTCGGGCTTGACTCGGCTCGATAAGACTCGTTTGACTCGAAAAGATAATTTTAATATAATTTTCTATAATTCAGTTCGTTAAAGTTTGAGATCGAGTCTTTAATGTTCAAACTCGACTCGTTAATACTTAATATTGATAAACAAGTCGAGCTCATGCTCAATTTATGGGTCGTTTACTTAACGAGCCGCGCAGGGTTCGGCTCGTTAAGAGCTCGAGCTCGTCTCGTTTACAACACTATGTGTGATGAATTCAGATTTTTAGAGCAACGATGGATTGATATTCCTAAACCGTGTGATGAAATTCTCCTACTCGACCACTTGTGTTCTTGTCTAATTCTTACCCGGAAGCTTCGTGGCCGAGAATTCGAGGGAACATCCTATGAGCTTCGTTCTTGAACACACGAATCGCGAAACAAACAAACAAGTCACTTCACCGTAAATCAGAAAAAATTCAAACGATGCCA